TGCAGCAGGATCCTGCTCAGGCAGCACGGCTGCATTGTCTCTGCTTTTGTAGCCCAAGCACCGCTCCTGCTCTGGGATCTCAGGAGGTGGTTGCAGCTTGCTGGTGCATTCTGGTGCAGCTCAGGGAGCAAGTGCGAGTGGAAGGCAATTGCACTGCACTAGGAGTGAAGCTTCTCCTTCTGCCCTCTCAGTCCTGGCTTCAGCACTGTACAAAAATAAAATAGCTCAGGATACTGCAGCCCTGCTTCTATACCAGCCCTATTTTTTCTCATCCATACAGCTGGATGGGACATGGGTGACTAAAATTAGCTGCCTTCTGTGAAGAATTTAGGTTTCTAATGCTTGAACAAGGTGAGAGACAGTTCAGGAAGCCAGGGATTCATTTCCCTAACAGTAGTGAATGTAACTATTTACAAACGGTAGTAATGCCAGTATGACCTACATTCTTGTATGTGTGTGCAACCACATCAAGCCACTCCTAACATTAAGCATTAAAACAGAAGTCCTGGTGTGGAGTAGTGTATTTAATCAGCTGTACTATCTGAGGAGAAATTAGCATTTCATTTTTGTTAAGGGCAGTGATTTGCAGAAATAACTTGTACCAAGAGACTTGATTTTAAATAAATACCCAAATATTTTGCTAACACTTCTGACAGTTAAAGTTTGATGCTTTGTGCGTTAGAATGTAAACTTGGATTTTATGGTTATTGTTTCAGATGGAAAAGGAGCAGCAAGCTGACACAGAAAATGTCCCTACCCCTTCTCCCTCACTGCCTCCCAAGATTACTCTGAAGAGAGACCAACCATTAGCTTACACAGCAACAGAAGACACATTCAAAGACACCGCCAATCTCGTTAAAGAGGACTCTGTGGTATAACTAGGTAACGGATTTAGGGAAAATTAGACACATCCATTTGCACATATATTTTTTATAAACAGAAGCGTAAGGTTCACATTCAAATGCTTTATAAAAATATATACATTTCTTAGCCAGTGGCTGGAGGTGTATGTTGAAACTATGCCTTGTTTTTTGACAAATGCCTATTGCTATTTTTATGAACAATTGTCATGATGTACTATATGTATATCTTTGCACTGAAGCTGTCTGAAACTAATATTATAAATACATTGTACATTTGTAAATTTTTGAAAGATTATCTTGTTCGGTGATGTTGCTAGAGAAATCTGTATGGGATTGGTCGTATCTGTAGGGATAAATTCATTATATAAATGCTTAAACTAAAAAAAACCCAAACAAGGCGAATAGAGGAACATTACTGATTTACAGGATCTTTAGAGTATCTATTTATAACAGCACCTTTTAAAACTTCTGCTGGTGCTCTGGGCATCTTTACCACCTGTTTTGTATACTACTGTATGTAAAGATGGGTGTCTTTGTTCATCTTGTGTTAAACAAAAGGTGGAAGCATCATTATGCTGAATAGTTACCTGTGCAAAATGTTGTTTTTACAATATTTTAACTGCCTGAGATAAAATAACTTCCTCTCAACCCATAAGACACATACTTTTCCTCTAGGTTCCAGTGAAAACCATTCCATTAATAGTGTTCTTAAAAAGATCTGATATATTTAGATTTTAGTGCCACGAGTACTTAATTTAATGAGATTTTCTCCTGCTCATCGATGGAATAGCTCTGTTCTTGGCTGGAGTCTCTGGAAGTAATTTGTGCTATTAAATGAAGTAGCTAGATTTCTATAACAACTTATTTCCAAACAGCAAAATACGAAAGATATTGGTTCATTTAAGAAATTATTCAGGTTTTTTAAAGTGAAAAATTAATTTTATTGACTATTTATTTCCTGAGGTGGACATTAATAGAAAGGGAAACAATTTCTACTAATGCAGTCTTTGTAGTTACCTGTTATTTCTGTACCTTTTGTCAGAATATGCTTTCCATCTTGCTACCTTTTCTATTAAAGTAGTTTCAACACAATAAACCATTTGAGGAATCTGAGTGCCAGTGCAGGAACACGTTATTCAGCATTCCTGGCTAGCTCCTCATATAATTTAAAGATTCCTAAAGTTATAATCATCGAGACTTCTGCTATTTGATTGTTTTATATCTGAATTCTCAAAACGTGTACTTTTTCTAATTAGAATGCTTATAATTACTTTGTAATGTACTTTGATTAGAAAAGACAACTGGAAAATGATGCTGCTGAATAAATCTAATAAATGTGTTATTTTATCACATCCTTATTCCATAATTTGTGTCAAGGCTCTATGTACTTTTTTCAGCTGTGGAGACTTCAGTGAGATGAAGACATCGGTGCTTTAGATGAAGGCAAATAAGAGTAGTGCTTACTGCTTCACACAACTGTCTAAAGTTCTTGGTGAAACCTCACTGACATTGTATCATTGCAAACATGAAAACTGCTCCATTACACACATTAAATAAACTGGCCCTTCAAACTGGAAACTCTGATTAGTGGTTTTAAGAGGCTGACTGTCAAGGTAGTACAAGCACAAGTGATTAAAACCTTAGTTCGATACCTGAGCGCTTTAATACAGAAAGCTCCGCAGAACCTGGCTCACAGCAGACACATCCGTAAGGCTGTGAGAGAGGATTTCTTTGGAAGGCTGGTGGTTGTTCCTGTGGAAAGAGTTCACAATGTTTTTTCAAAAAAGGAGGCAGGGCTAACATTTCCACAAGACTCTCCGTTTGCATGCCACCAGAAAAAGTAGAATCAGTTTTGTGACTAATCTATGTCAACAGAAAGATTTGGAGCCAGTTTTGGAGACAGCTGCTAATACGTCAGCCATGTATCAGATATTTCCCACCCCCCATAAGAATCCTAACATTTCAGATGTGGAAGAAAACCACCCCTGGGATACTGTATGGATACGTACTATGTAGATTTGACTGTTTAACATACCTGATGGTGAAGAACTCCTAAGCTTCAACTGAGCCTCTTCCTCTTGGCAGCACACTACAAGGTGGCCTTCTGGTTACGTAAAACGTAGTTTTTGGTGCTCTGTTCAACAGAAGCTGTAGACTCTAACTTCATTTAACCCTTGTATTCTTTTTCCCTTATGAGGACAGTCCCTGCCTGGATTCTTGAATTCTGGACTTGTTCTGTTTCAAATAAGGCTGATTTTTAGAGATTTCAGCACCTCTCTGTAATCTGCCACTATAGGGCTGATAAATTGCCACATGAAGTTTTTTCATGTACATTCTTTTTACAGCTGTCAGGCCAGGTAGAGAGAACTGTAACTCTGCAGGTATTTATTGTGAAATGAAGTAAAGTAAATTTAGTATGGAAACCATTTGCCAGAGAATAAAACCTCCATGAATAAAGGTTCCTAAACAGTTTTTACGTTCTGTCCCTTTCTTGCACATGTCCAAGCACACACACACACACACACACCCCACCACCATCTCACACACACCAAGTGATGGAACTCCTTTTCTTACACTTGAAGTTCTGACCTGCACATGGTATTTTTGTAAACTTAACTGAATTGCACATTAATGATTAATCACCAGAGCAGCTCTTTAGCAAATAAAACCTTTACCCTTCAATTTTAATATCTCTAGGAACACCAGTTTGTGAGCCTCTGGCCAGCAGCTCAACAGGGAGAAATCGTGTGCAGGAGGCACAGTAACCTCAACTAACACTTTGCCATTCTGAACACAGTCTTTGTACAGCTGAACTAGTTTGCCATAGAATTTGCTAATGACCTGTTTCATCTAACGAGTGAAATAATTATCCTTTTAGCATGCCCAGCACACTGAGGATGAAATGAATGTGAATGCAAATTATTTTAAATATTTTCCTTAGAAACCACGTTTTAACTTTCTTCCTAATATTAGTATAAATTTGGATACTCTGGATAGTACCAGAGTACAGTTGTGATTTTTGGAATATGCTGCAATAGCTAGGCTTTGGTATTCTTTGATTTCATGCCTTGTGTTCAGAAGCTTGTGAAGTTCAGCAACTCCTGAACATGACCATGAGCAAAACCCCATGAAATAGATGACTAAATCTAACCAGATACATTCTGCAGGGCACATGTATAAGATACATGTTCCTAAAGGCCATTATTTTACTTTAAGTTCACTACCAGCCTGTGTGTTGATGAAGTCTACTTGAAAAATTATTTCTTCTAGGGTTTTTATTATTTATTTTCAAATGTGTTATTGGATGGATTGTATTAACCAGCTTTGTAGCCTAATATTTTCTGAATGCAGATCCTATGGAGGTATCATTTCTGAGCAGAAAAAGTGACCCTCAAAAGCATGCTGGATTCACAGCATGAAATTTCAGAAATTTTGGGTAAGGAGGGTTTTGGGGCTGTAGAAAGTGTCTTCTGAAAGGAATTTAAGCAGTCTAGTAACTGGTAAAGAAGAGGATGACTGGTTTTGACAGGATTAATTTTTATTAATGCAGAGCTAATGATGCTGTTTTTAATACTAAATGTTAATGACAACTTCAGGAACTGCTCTCCCAGTAGCTGCTGGAGCTGGAAACGTCATGTGCAGTAGCATGTCAGATAAACAGCTTGGGGCATAGGAGAGAAACAGCCTCAAGAACTTTGCATCCCATCCAGCTCCGTATCGTGTCCTGGGGTACTTTGCTATCAGGGCATGTTCCATGCATTTTACGACCTTAGAAATATCAGAGTCACACAGTCTCTTCACTAATGATCTTTGAGCTTTTGCATCTGCAAAGAAGAAAATAAACCTGAAACACACATATGCAACATTCGCTGTGAGAGGAATCTTTATATTCAAAGGTTTGGCTACAGTGTCAGGCTTGCTTTAAACTACAGGGTCAGGTACTGAGAGCGGGATAGCTGCAGCAGAGAAGAGACCAGAAAGGCTGCACAAGACCCAGGAGGCTGGTAAACAGAAACCTCCCTGGCCCGGGTCGTGAGTCAGATGCTCCCTGCAGTACATGCAGCATGACACAGCACAACTTTTCAGACATTGGTAAGCCCTTAACTTAGCACATGGTCATAGCAATTCAATCCCCCTGGACATTCTGCCTCTAAATATGGAGAGACTAAGGATGGTAGCAGGACATCACGTCTCGTGTGGGAACTAATAGCACAGGCCTCATCTAACTGTCCAGAACAGTCAGCAATGGGTTCTTAACAGATGTTAATGAAGTCCAGCAAAGGTTCACAGAATCACAGATTGGTTGAGGTTGGAAGGGACCTCTGGTCCAACCCTCTGCTCAAGTTGGGTCACCTAGACCGGGCTGCCCAGGACTATGTCCAGACAGCTTTTGAATTATTCCAAGGATGGAAACTCCACAACCTCCCTGGGCAACCTGTGCCAGTGCTCAGTCACCCTCCCAGTAAAAATGTGTTTCTTCATGTTCAGCAGGAACATACTGTGTTTCAGTGTGTGCCCATTGCCTCAGGCCCTGTCCCTGGACACTGCTGAAAAAAGCCTGGCTCCATTGTCTTTACAGTCTCCCTTCAGTTATTCATATGCATTGATAATATCCCCCCCTGAGCTGTCATCAGTCCTTTTTCTACTTACATTCAACCAAGTATTTTTCTCCATAGGAGTGCTTGATCTCAGGATTCAGCCTGTTCCAAAGTCTTAAGAGGTGTCTCTTGATGACATCTGGATTGGCTACTGCTGCCTTAGAGAAACCATGCTCAACAATACTTACTTTCACTCCAAAATGCTGCATCTCTCTCCTAGAACAAAAAACAACTCAGTAACCATCCCTGACAACCCAGTAATGGCATAACCATTAAATACAAGTTGAAAGTCTGTTACATTAATGACTATTTAAGACTTTATTATCTTCAAATGTCAGAATAATTTTGAGATGTTCAAATTAGCTTCATAGCAGTGTGCCTGTCCTGTAAGAGCACAGCAGGCAATTAGCCCTAAAAAACCCAGTGACAGGTAGATTCACAGCTCTGTGTGGTTTATGTTGGGCTGGTGCTGAGAATTAGCAAACTAAAACTTCTGACAGTTTCAAATGCCATTGCATCATTTCAGCTTCAAGCAGGAACAGGTTATTAAAGTGCCAGGGAAAAAGTAAAAGTCAGCAGAACTTTTCAATTGGATTAGAATTTTATTCTCCATCGTATGGTTAAATGGCTATGGTTAAGTAACCAAATGCTAGTGCAATAAAGGTCACTGTGTTTTCTGGTAGCATGGTTCCCTCTATGTAATTTTGGGTTGCAGTGCAACTCCTTTGGGATGAAAATGATCTCTTTGTCTTGCTAGGCAGCTCAAGAGACCCAGGCAGCTACATTCCAAAGCGTGCAAAGGAATGGGCCATGTGTACCTTAGCCATTAGTTTCCATTAGATTATCTTGGGGCTTTATATAAACATTCATAATGGTTTGTAACCAACTTTCCTAGTCCTTGTGAAGACTTGACTCACTGGGCTAAGCCTCAGCCTTCTCAAGGCAGTACAACACAACTGACTTCAGTGACGGGTGCTCAGCTTAATTTTCTGAAGTTACCTTTGGTAATGTGGTTGCTGCCTGGAATTGCCCAGCTCAGATTGTTGTGGAGCACTAGAGCTAAACAAAATGGGTTGTAAATGGGTCAGGAAACTCTGTGTGTCTGATCAGGCTACATGGATTATTTACTTCAGTTTGTGCAGTGGATTCACAGGACCCAAAGCTGCACGCTAGCCATTTGTCCAGGATATGAAAATTTTTCCCAGTGCAGTTTCCCGGGGGGGTCTTTCCATAGTGCTGGAGACTGAAATCCCAAACCAAGTGACCATCATTATGAATCGTGGATGTATTTCCAGCTACTCACCGTAAGGCGTCAGAGAAAGCTTCCATGCCCCATTTTGACAGGCTGTAGCCACCCCCTGCAAAAGCCATGAGGCTTTTGGCATTAATTAGATTGACTACTCTTCCCTCAGCTTTTTTCAGAAGCGGCAGAAGTTTGAGTGTGATTTCGATCAATCCCAGCAGACTGACATCCAGCACTGAGTGGAAGTCTTCAATCCTCAGCCAGTCAGTGGGTGCTACAGGTGCTGTTCCTTCAGCATTGCTCACCAAGCCGAAAAGCCCTAAGGGGATTACAAAACCGTTTATTTTGGTATGTGGCAATATCTTAACCTAGAGTTTCGTATGCAACATTTGGAACCAAGCACAAAGTCTGCAAAAACTTTAGTTAGATGGGTACGGTCTTCTGGAGTCTGCATGTAAGTATCTAGGTCTATTGCTGAAGACCTCAGGCAGTGATGAAAGAGCATGGATGAAGTATTAAAGTGTAAAGTATTAACCAACTATTTTGGTTGGAGATTTGGGCCACCTTACTGGGCTTTATTACCGAGATACGCTCAAGTACATGGGCTCATAATATTCACTTACATTCTTGTGAAAATCAAATAGTCTGTGCAAACATGGAGAGGCTGATTTTCCTGGGTTGGGGTCTAAAGGTCTGAAACAGACATGTGGAATTAGTCAATGCTTCTAAAAATATTATCTTGACCCTGTTTATTGATAATACTGCTTTACTACCTTATAATTTACTTGAGGAACTTTAGATAAATAGTGACGCTTCCAACAGTTTGCTGAGGACAGCCTGTGCCTAAAGGGAGAGGCTGAAAGTCCAGCACTCAGCCTTCATAAAGACTTTCTCAGACTGAGGTGGCAGTGTTAGCAGTGGTTACCCCGACTGAGAACGTGTGGCTCCACAAGCGGGAAGTAGGGGCCTGCCAGAGAAGGTGAGTGCTGATAATTATTTTGTCCTTGCCCTCAATCACGGCATTCAAGAATGGTCTGGAACTGTCGTGATGAGGCTAACAGTGTTTCACAAGCTTTGAGGAGAAAGCCCTACTGGCAGAAGAGACGTGTTTTACTGGTTTAGCTACTTAATTAATTAGGCCTATTGAATGTTCGGTATAACTGTGTTGCAGCTGGTAGTTGCAGTGCTGTGATTTCCTTTGGTGGCCCTTAGCAATGTCTGGTCTGAGCTATCAGTGCTGAGAAAGAAAACACGTATTGCCGCAGTTGAGTATACTTACTGTGCAGATCTTTTCATCACCTTTTCTAAAACCAACACTTAAGTCTTGTTTTTAAGTCCACTTAGAAGTATCTAAGGTCAAATTAATCCTTTTTCTTTTAGACAAGTGCTTAGTAATGAGAGCTACCTGTGTAACAACTCCGAGAAAACTGTCAGTGCATTGTTGTGCACGTTGCAAAAGTCAGGCTTAGCCAGCCTTGCAGAACCACTCTTCTTGCTAGAGGAGGGCTGAAGGAGCCCTGCACCAGCTGGTTTTAGTTAGGTGGGCTGGTTTTCTTGCCAAGAAAGTTCTTTCTAGTACCACTTAGCACCTTCCCCCCACTGAGATTCTTCAACTGCACCGAAAAGAGTGAAAAATCACACTGGGAGTGATCTGGTTTTAATAGACTGAGCAACTGGATTTTCAGGCATCCTGATGGTGAAAGTGATGGGAAGCCCAAAAGCATTGCTGGAAAGAATCTGTTTGAACTGAGGAGTGACAGAACTGAAGAGTGAGTGCATTTCATCAGTAAGACAAAAAAATGCCTCTATGGAGAGTGGAGAGGCACCAGAACTCTTAGCTAGACCATTTGGTTATACTGAAGAATATGTCTGGGAAGTTACCTTGCCACTTACCCTTGCCAGCCGTCTCTTCAGTCACAAACGCAACAGTCCTGGCAATGCTGTTGGAGTCAGCTAAGTTCAGGTCCACTGTCTTCAGTGAGAGCGAGCAGCAGGACCGCAGCTCTTGGCTCCCTTTTTCTGTGGCACATGCAGCAATGACACAGAATCCTGTTTTGTCAAGCCACTTAGCCAGTGAGTTTCCAAGTCCGGTATCGCAGCCCGTTATGAAAACATGCTTCCCGCTGAGGTTTCTCACTCTGTGGCTGTCTCTGATGAGCCAGTAAATGATAAGAGAGAGGATGGAAGCCAAAATTGCTATGTGCACTGATTCTGAAAGTGAGAGCTACAAGCAAAGAAATTAATGATCTAGAAATGCAATGAAGCAAATGTGCTCAGCCAACCCCCCAGCTTCCTCAGACACAATTCCTGTAGGGGGTTTTGCTTCTGGCTGCAGCACTTCCAGCTCTCTCTCAGATCGGGGAGAGCAGGGTTGGAAGCTTTTGCACAGTGTGATTGTGACCCATGAATAATACGTGCCTTGGCAAACCCTTCCCTCCTTTTCAATAGATTTCCACTGTTTCAAGGTTCTGCTGACCAATCTTTCTAGTCAGCCCTGTCCTTTCAGGACACTTCAGACTGAAAGGGATGACTGTGTCAGTATTCACAGTAACATCTGGGTTTTTTGTGGACACCAGTGATTATTTGTGCTAATACTGGAGAGAGGAATTCCTCTGGGAAGAAGGATGATTCTCTTTGACCACCTGTATGACGCCACCCTGGCTGTTCTTCTAATCTATAGCACGGAAGCAGAGCGACCCCAAGAACGACCTAAAAAGCCTAAGCTGTAGTAGTGGGTCTGATGGCTGATTTGTTGTGTGGCTCATGTTGTGTGACAGTGAGTGATCTGCTCTCTGCCACTTAGGCAAGGTAGACTCTGGGGCAGTGCCTGAGTCTTCTGGCTCCTTCCTCATTACCTGTTCAGAAGTGAAAAACAGCACAGTAGAACGTATTCTATAGGAAGTGTGTCTGTATAAAGAAATGGGGAAACACATGGAGATGCTACCCTCGAAAAAAACCAAAACCCCACTGAGGGAACACAAGGTTTCCTAACTCTGGTGGGGAGGATACCATTTGCTTATTACAAATTTTCTTTCATAAATGTAGAATACAGTTCTTGGCATCTAAAATCTTCATGATTGATTACTGTTTTTCTAGATGTATTTTTGGTTTGTGCAAGAATTATACCAAAATAATTAAAACCAATATTTATGGGAGTGTTATGGTAAACACTTTCTAGACATTCTGTTTAAGAAAAACTCTTTTACAAGTGCTAAGCAGTCACCTAGACTCTAGTTACCTACATACATATATAAATATATATATAGGTGAAGACATCTGGCCTTTAAATTAAAAAACTGAATTGATCCTTTGGAAAAAAGGAATTTGTGATTATTTTTACATCCTGAAAGTACTCAGAGAATAAGGAGGTCTCTCATCTCTAACTTATAGCTGTCTGAAGTTAGGGATTCATTTGGCTGATTTGTGTGTAACATCCTTGCTGCCTCAGGACATGAATACTAAAGGAAGTAAAATGTATTAGGCCTGGTTGTGAGAGCCCGTCTGGTGTTCGTGTTGCTACTTCATGGGAGTTTATGGAGTGGTTTGGATTTATTCTGATTCTAAATTTTGCTGTCACCAAGTAGAAATGGAAGGAAACTCAGGATCTGGTAGTGAATGAATGTTGGACTCTCGTTAAATAATTAAATCAGTCACATAGCTGATGAATGATGACAAGTAGCAACATTAATTGCCACTTGATGATCTTATTTTACATAATTGAGTGCCTCTGTAGCCATCAGTATTGACTTCTGAGCTACTGGTTAATGCTCTCTGATTTAAAAAATGTTAAGAAACTGTATATACATACGAGTTTGTTTCTCCTTCCACTGCGATCTACAGGGAGGCTCCCACTGAATCCCTGGGCTGCACTGGTTATTTCAGCAGCCCATCTTCCTGTGGTTTTGAGGCTGATGTTATCAGCCCTCTAGTTCAGGTACTTCACTTAGATACTTGACTTCTTTGCTGCGAATGTCCCTGTTAGGTTTGACAAGGGTTGCAGTGTTCCTGAATGTGTGCACTTTGGAATCGTCTTTGTAATGTTTCTCGGAGTTGGTGACGTTTACTTGCTGAGAGTACCCATGGAGTGTGCTGTGACACAGTACCACTAAAGCTGTGTCAGAGCTCAGGCTAATTCAGGCTTCTATGCCGTCAAATAGTCTGAAAACAGGATGTTGCAGCAGCTGATCATAGATGGCCCCAGCCCATTTGCAATGATGTGCCAGGCAGTGACATTTCCTCTGACTGCTGATTTAGAATTTAGAGCCGAGTGACACACAAAGAAAGGAGTTGCTGCCAGCAGGCTCCTGTAACCCCATGCCAATAAATCTCAGCAACCTGCTGGTGCGATATATAATTTTAGGACTTAATTAATCTTTTTCCAAATAAAGAATTAGATTAAATAATTAGAGATTTGGGAAAAAGAAAAAGATTAACCTAACTGGAAATAGGAGCTAAACCACACCTTCCTTCACTGACTCTGCTGTAAGGAGGAAGCAGCAGGCAGCAAGCTTGCATGACTGGAAAGCAGGTTAGCTTGAAGCTGGGCTCTGTGAAGAGGGGCTGAAGTGACTGGCCAGTATCCCTGCCGACTGCTGTAAGAGAAACGCCTGGGCCTGCTGTGGTTGGTGTTCAGCCCTGTGTTTCAGTAGCAATAATTGCACAGAAGCAGTGAAAGACAAGGGGCTCTAGGGGCGATAGCTGAGAGGGCAGTGCTGTGCGGAGCCTCCACTGTTCCTCTCTGCCCTGTCAGGCCTGGGCCAGTGTCCCTAAGCCTGTAATCCCCAACTGCCTCCTTCTCCCCAAGTACGAGCCCTCCTTTCGTAACCCGTGGCCATTCAGTGCTGAGCACCATAGCAGGCTTTGCTCTGCTGGAGCCTCCTGCAGGTATCTCTTCTGCTAGATAATGACGTTGCCACTGGAAGGAGCTTGGGGTCAGAGTCAAAGGAAATAGTTAAAGTTTTCTTTCAAGAAAATGGTCTAGTTCTGTGAATGTACAGTGTCATGCAAAGTGTTTCTGGTTTGATAGTTGCAGAGCGCTAAAAAAGCCACTTGTCTTCCAGGAGCACGTTGATTTTGAAACAGCTGCCTGGAGTGGCAAAAAGTGTGCTTCCAGAGAAAATGTCAGCATGCTATTTCAAGAGTATTGATATATCTTCATAAATATTGAATTCTGGTTACTAATGTAGCCAGTAAATAAGCTAAAGGCAAATTCTGCTTTCCATTAAGACCTTGACATTTGCCTGGCAAATTGAAAACTCTTGGGATAGAGCGTGGCTTCTTATGCCTAGACAAGTGCCATTATAAAAGCAATTGATTTTAGAGAAAACAGCAAGACTACACTGACTGCAAAGCACAGCATCCCTCTGCTTCCCTGCACTAGAGGAGACTGAAGCATGTAGACTTTGTTGAAGGGGGGTGTTACAGTTTTACTCCCACAGGAGTTTGCTTTCACATTCATGCCAAAGAACCTCAGGTGGGGGTCAGGTTTGGGATCTGTGTGTGCTTTGGATTCCTTCATCCACCACCATGCTGTCAGTGCAGACCTCCAGAAGCCAGTGCTCTGCAGTGGGTGTGAGTGTCCTGCCAGGCATGCTGAGGAAGAACTGCTAGAGGGAATGTTAGGGACGGGTTCTTCAGAAACAGCACTGATGTAGCGCTCAGTGGAAGGTTTAGATGTATCAGACAACACTCTGACAGATCATCCCACAGCTCCCTGGAGTCTAGGAAGTACAAACTTTAATAATTGGTCACCCTGCCAGTGCGACAAACCCCTTGGTCTCCAGTTAAAAAGTTGCACAAATATGCAGGCACAAGAACACCACATCTGTCACTCTTAGGTGAGCTATTGCTGCATGTGCAGGGCTTTGTACTTTCGTTTCATGGAAAAGGAGGGGTTTTTTTGTATGCTGTGTAAAAATGTCAGTGTGATAATTCACTTCGGTGGTCAACAGAGAACTTCAGATCTTAATTAATATGTCACCTTAAAAGAATTAGATCTCCAGACTCTCCTACTCAGCATTTTGCAGGGAGATGAATGTAGTCTGGTACAACGGGGGCTGATTTCTCAGCATGATCGTATCCTTCCTTATATTGTTTGCACTTCAGATTTTCGCCACAGCATAGGCAAAAGACCCAGGAAAATAAAACCCTGTAAGCTCTTAGGGGACTTAACCAGTAATTCGAAATAAAGGAGTAGAGAAAGGTTCCAGATGTTGTGAAGAACATTTCTGAGTCAGCATTTTATTCAGACCCTGTAGGTACTTAGATAAGGAACAGTTGTTAAAGTCACTCTGGAAAGGAAGGGACTGCATGTTCTCTTGTCTGTGCATTCCAAAACAAGTGTTAAATTAGTTCTCTTAGCTATTCTGCAAATGCTCACTATAAGGATAGGCACAAGTTCTGGTTTTGTGCTGGTACTCACAGTCTCGGGAGACATCTGCAAGCTCAGTCTGTACCTCCAGGTGCTCACGGTTTGCCTTCGCCAGTTCTTTCCAGCATCAGAACGGGAAAACTGCCCAAGTCAAACTCTCGCTTGTGCACCAAGACCCGCACAGTGATAGCTTCCAGAAAAACCTCACTGCGAGTTCTGACTGGTGGTGCTTTCTGATCGCTGTACGAGCACGGCCCCTCTCCCTGCTGCTGATAATGACTTGTGCTGTGATGCTTCTACCCCAGGGACTTAGTTGGTATTAATCTCCTGCATGTGCTCCATGCCTGCCTATTCTACCTACGTTGTATAAGCACTGCTGGCTATATATAGTAATCTACAGAGCCTGGAGGGCTGTTAAGACTCATTAGGGAGAACTAATCTACTCAGTTGGGAAGGACTGATCCGTGCTTCATCTTGAAACGTGCAGGAGTCTTTTGATTTAATAGAGCTTGGTTCAGACCACCTTTTCTTCTGCATGTGAGCAAATTATTATTGATATGACTCAATCTTTTAAGATACATCCTTGTGTGTGAAAACCTTCAGGTATGAAATTATTTTTTCTAGTCTGGGGACAGCTTTTTGATACTACAAACAAATCAATTGCCTCAGTAACTAAGCAATGTTTTTCAAATAAAAGCTCAAATTCTACAAACTGTGTAACAGAAGCTCTACAGTTTGCATGACAAAAGACTCTAATATATGACTGCTGGGTTGCTTGTTTGTTTGCTACCTCGCCCAGAATCTCCTGGCACTTCTGATCCAGCTCTGGGTGCAACTGTGT